AGGCTGCTGGTGGCCACCTTGGCTACCCAGGCCCAGGCTGGCTCACACAGAGATGCTCTGGAGTCCAGCAGGAACACGCATCCATCAGTCCAGGGACATTCTCTTGCTGCATTCGTGAGCTGAATGAGCCCAGAGGCAGGACCCAGCTCAGGCCAGGGTGGGGGCAGGAAGGTTCTCCCACCCTCTGGGCTCTATTTCCACCTCAGCTTCCCCAGGTCTTCACCTCAGGATCCTTCTGGACCAAGAGGAACACGGGGAGAGGCTCTGGAGCCTCCCACTCCCCAAATTATGACCCTTTTAGGTTGTGTCCATCTCTGGAGATGTGGCATCTCTATTTTTCCTTCCACCAGGAACAAATCCAGGCTCACCTGCAAGCCCTGAGGGGAGACAGAGACAAACTCCTGGAGCTCCGAGAGGCTGAGCTGGGGAGGAGTTTGGAGCAGCTGGTAAAGGGTCCTGTGAGGAGGGGTGGGGGTGCTCTGCAGGTGCCTCTTTGGCTTCCAGCAAGAGGAACGTGGAGCTCAGGGAGATTTTAGGTGTGGAAACAGCCTGGCCTGCTGGTGGACTCCTTTTGGAGGGCCCCAACCCAAGGCTGCTCCAATTTTCACTGCAAAAAAGAGCAGGCAGAGCCTGGAGCCCTTCCAGGGACTCAGCTGCTGGGTGCAAAGGAGAAAACTCTCTCAATAGCTCCAAAAAGGAGCCAAAATCCTTGGACTCTGCTTCCTTCTAGGAGTCACTGGTGGAGGTGGGACTTGGCTGCGTCCTTCTCCACCCTCTCCTCCCTTCTCCCGGCAGGAGAGGGCTGAAGCTGAGGGGCAGAGGCTGCTCTCCATGTTCAGAGGGCTGCGTGGCTTCCTGGAGGGCCACGTCCATCTCCTGCTGGCCCAGCTGAGGGACCTGCAGAGGGACCTGGAGCAAAGGCAGGAGGAGAACGTCACCAGCCTGACCCAGGAGATCTCCCGGCTCGACACCTTGATCCAGGAGATGGAGGAAAAGTGTCAGCGACCAGCCAGGGAGTTCCTGAAGGTGGGGGGGAAGGGAAGGGGGCCAGCTCAGCACCCCCTGGGCCTGGGCGACCTTCCCCCCCACAGTGCAGCAGAACCCAGGCTCTGATCTCCTCCAAAGCCACAGCCACACGGCTGAGGTCTCAGCTGCCAAGATCTCACTGAGTTTCTTCTTCCCTTTCTTCCTTCCAGGACATCAGAGGCACCTTGGGCAGGTATGGGGCTTCCTGAGCTTCTCCTTCCATCCCATGCTGGGGGGGGAGGTGGGACCTGACGTTTGATGGGACAGGTAGAGGGAAATCTTCACCAAACCTTACCCACAAGTCCAATATTTGGCTTTGTGGGCAGAGCAGAGGAGCCTCCACCCATCACTGGGTGTGCAGAGGGTTGATTCGAGCTGTAGGCACCCACCAGAGATTTCTGGGTCCCTCTCTGAGAAGATGCAGCTTCATCTCTTCCTTCCCTCCTCCTCCTCCTCCAGGTTGGAAAAGGGAAATTTCCAGCAGCCCCCGTTGTTTCTGCCAGAGCTGGAGAAGAAAATCAGCCACTTTAGGGAGAAAAATACAACTCTAGAGGAGATTCTGAGGAGCTTCCAAGGTAATGAGCAGGGGTGGGGAGCTGGAGCAGAGCCTCAGCTGAGCAGAAATTGTGTTTATTTGGAGTATAAATGATATTTTATCATATTTTATGATGCACGTGAGCTCAGGGGGGCAGAATAACCACTTCTCATGCTCACCTTGATACCTCAGGCTTGGTCTGGGAGGTCTCTTCCAACCACAACACCTCTGTGAGCTCTAGAATTCATGTCCTGTCAATGAATTCCTCTTTTCTCCCCTCTTTAGACACCCTGGTGTTCGAGCTGCCTGAAAAGAGTAAGTCCATGTCCCCGGAGGTTGGGAAGAGGGAAGGGCCAAGGGAAGGCTGAGCCCACCATGGCTTGGAAGGTCATCTGGGAAACCTCCTGAGCAGCACCATGAAGGGGAGGAGGGGCCAAAACCCCCGTAAGGAGCCAGGGAATCCTCACCACGACGTGTGGGTGGATTCGTTTCTTTCAACGGGGCTGCTCAGAGGGTAGAAGTCTCCTCCTCATCTCCCTCAAGGCTCGTTCTCTTGGGAATCTTCTCCTGATGCTCACCTGGCTCCAACATCTGCCCCCGTGGCACTGGCTGAGCACCCCGAGGGGGGTGGGTCGTGCTGCAGGAGCTCCCCCCCTGGGCTGGGGCAGTGGGGCAGGACCTGGGGGCCAGGGGAAAGGTTTCTTCTGACCCTCTGCTCTCCCCCCTGCAGTGAAGGTGACCCTGGACCCCTCCACAGCTCACCCCCAGCTCGTCGTGTCGGGGGACGGGAGGAGCGTGAGGTGGGAGGACCCCTTGGAGGACCCACCCCCCGAGGGCTCCTTGGGCACCGACCCCTGCGTGCTGGGCAGCGAGGGCATCGCCTCGGGGAGCTGCTGCTGGGAGGTGGAGGTGGCCCCCAAAGGCTCCTGGGCCCTGGGGGTGGCCAGGGAGTCCCTGAAGAGGAGGGAGGAGGGGGCTGAGAGCCCTGAGCTGGAGCTCTGGTCCATGGGGCTCTGCGAGGGGCAGTTTTGGGCTCTCACCTCCCTGGAGCGGGTCCCTCTCTACCAGATCCAGGTCCCCAGCAGGGTCCGAGTCTCCCTGGACTACGAGAAGGGTCAGGTGGCTTTTTTTGATGCCGACAGGAGAGCTCTGATCTTCACCTTCCCAGCAGCCTCCTTTAAAGGGGAGCGTGTCCTGCCCTGGTTCCTGGTGTGGGGCGAGGGCTCCCAGATCACCCTCTGTCCCTGAAGTTCTCCCTTTTTGCCCCAAACACAAGTTTTATCTCCCAAACGTCCCTATCTCCACCACCCCAGAGGACTTTCGGTCTACTCCATTCCCAGGTGGCCTCTCTGGCTCCTCTCCCCATCCTCAGTGATCCCAAAGGGTTGAACATCTCCGTGGGTCAACGTCCCTGTGGGTCATCTCCACGTGGAGCAATGATGGAGCCACCTCATCCCCAGGGTGCCTCCCACCACCCCAGCCCCGTGGGTTTTGGATGAAGTAAAGAGGATCCACCCTCTGCCACCTTCTTCTCTGCCTGGTTATTTGTCCCTCCTGGATCTCAGGCTCGAGGCTGGGGGGAACTGGAGGTTCTGTTGACCAAACCCCATCCCTGGCGTTTGCAGGTGGCCGTGTTTGCCCCCAGAAAGGTCCCACAAGCCCCATGCAGGTGACCCAGGGCCAGACCTGGCAGCCACGTGCCACGTTGGCCTCCAACCAGAGGGGAAGACACGGAGGAGAAAAATCACATATTTATTATTCATGATCTACAGCAAGGAGGTTTCCAGAGTCAGCTGGAGGAGGAGGAGAGGAACCAGTTGAGGCTGAGGGGCAGCTTTGCCGTGTGGGAACTTTCCATGTTGGTGAGACCCCCCCTTGCAGCCCCAAGGAATGGGATTTAACTCATGTGACACCAAAAAGCCACCGAGCAGATGTCTCCATCTCTCCTGGCCACCCCAGGGGCCTTCACGAGGGAGAACTGCACCCCTGGAGAGGCTGGGGGCAAATAAACCCCCTAAAGTTTGGACCCCTCGGGTTGGAGGTGACCAGCTCAGAGGGTGATATCTACATTTAATCTGGCAAACTGATGGTTGGGCTTGATCTTGGAGGTCTCTTCCAAGCGAAAGGATTCTAGGATTCCATGATTCCATGAAAATTGGTGTTTCCATCAGTGTCACTCCAAATTTTGCCCCTTTTCCCACCTCCACGCCCCCAGGTCCCCCCTTTTCTCTCTGCCTCATTTTCCCCATCTCCATCCCTCGCCCCTGCACGTCGATCCCCCACTTTTGGGGGAAAGAAGGAAACCCCAAAACCCAAGTCCCCCTTCCTCCTTCCCCTCGTGGTCCCGGGGGTACCCCGCTGGCTCCTGGGGGACCTCCAAAGCCGGGGAGGTGCCACCACCCTCCCCACGCCTCAGGGGCGCAGCCGGAGCTGGGACTTGGCGCCCACCACCCAGAGCCAGGGCCGGACCCTC